TCACATATCATAATATATATATACATATATATATGTGATATGTAACTGTATATATATATGTATATATATATATATATATGTGAAATGTAACTATATATATATATATATGTATATATATATTCTGAGGTTTTCGCGCGTGTTTGTATATAGGTCTTTGGTTATTCGGGTTTTCTCCCGCGTAAAATTGGAAGTGTCTTGGCGACGTTTCAGTGAAGTCCCATTCGTCATCTTCAGCTGTTTTCAGCTTCATGCTTCGAGGAGCAATGTGTGGTCTTAGCTGTTTCTTCCTTTTAACTGCCAGTAGGGGTATGAACTGATTGGGTGGGAGCTTGGCTGTGTTCTGATTGGGTGGAGGTGTGTTCTGATTGGTTAGGCGCTTGGCTGTGCTCTGATTGGCTGGGGGTTGGCTGTGCTCTGATTGGCCGGGGGAGTGTTCTGTTTGGGTGGGGGCTTTGTTGCACGCTCTCTCACACCACCACCCAGCACAGATCAACTCCGTAGCCAAGACACTCATCTCCAGAACAAAACACTTAGCTGACGAACAACACCTAAAAACCGAACTACACACTCTCACCAATGTACTAACATCAAATGGATTCCAAAGAAATAAGATTACAAACCTAATCCAAAAAGAAACCCCCACTAAAATCCAAGACAGAGAACAAGAAAACGGCAAAGCCCTCCTCCCATACATAAAAGGCACCACAGACAGAATCAGCAAGATCCTCCATAAACACAACATCAAAACAGCATTCTGCCCAAACAGAAAAATATCCACCATCCTAAGAAACCCCAAAGATAAAATTGAGTTAGAAAATCAAGGAGTATATGAAATCCCATGCACTGCTTGTCCCAACACATACATCGGACAAACCAACAGAAGAATAAGTGCATGCATTGAAGAACATAAGAACTCAGTCAAAAAAGAAGAACCAACATCTTCTCTGGTCCAAAACCTTAAAGCCACAGGACATGAAATTGACTTTAAAAATACCAGAACTATCGCCAAAACTGAACATTTTAATAACAGAATAATCAGAGAAGCCATCGAGATAGAAAAACGCCCACACAGCATGAACAAACAAGATGATACCTCCCGCCTACTAGCCATTTGGAAACCCGCCTTTATTGACAAACGACTCCCTAACACAAAAAATGACACCAGACCCACACTCACAAAAACCACATAGGATGTCACCACCACACATCCACGCAAAAAGCAAACCCAAAGCCACACCGATGATGAGGCACGACCAGAAGCCAGACCACAGCTGCATCATTAGCCACTATAAACCCCTCCAATCCATACATGAAGCAAACTGACACCCACCATGAAGATGAGGCACAACCATGAACGCGAAGCCCAAAAATAGCAAGGCAGCCCACCATCTTAACCCCCCCTGCAACTCAGACTAACCTGAGCACAACAAAGCCCCCACCCAAACAGAACACTCCCCCAGCCAATCAGGGCACAGCCAACCCCCAGCCAATCAGAGCACAGCCAAGCCCCTAACCAATCAGAACACACCTCCACCCAATCAGAACACAGCCAAGCTCCCACCCAATCAGTTCATACCCCCACTGGCAGTTAAAAGGAAGAAACAGCTAAGACCACACATTGCTCCTCGAAGTACGAAGCTGAAAACACCAGCCTGAAGATGACGAATGGGACTTCGTCGAAACGTCGCCAAGACACTTCCAATTTTACACGGGAGAAAACCCGAACAACCAAAGACCTACATATGTATGTATGTATGTATATATATATATATGTATGTATGTATGTATGTATGTTTATATACATATACATACACACACACACACACATACATACATAGATACATACATACATATATGTCTTTTAACTCTATTCCATTCAATAATTACTAGTTGAGCAGACCATTTTATATTTTAACCATATTCAAACAAATGCTTAACCTTTAAAAATTACTTCTGATAGGTCCAATCTTCTAATCCCCTGAATCTGATTTTAGTCTTTTTCTTTCGCCAAACGGCTTTTTCTCATCCATCTATTCCACGTAGTTAAAAAGTCTTGCCATTTTCTTGTGGATGTTGTTAAAGATGGGAGAGACAAATCAGGTAGGATATTGATTTCTTTTATCTTTTTTTGTCTCTCAAGTCATACAGTAGTGACCAAAATTGTGGAAGCCTTTTGGGAAAAGTGTACATTTGAGGTTTGATGGCTAATAACACCACTTTTTTTGGAGTAGTATCATAAAATTATATATCAATGGAGAGATAATTTAATCAAGAATGTAATGCAATAACTTTTATGAAGAATTTGCTATTAGAATAGCAGTTATAAAGAAGAAAAGTGAAACACGTAGAAAAAACAAGATATACAAAAATTATCATCATGTCTGTTAATACTTAGTTGGGTAACCTTTAGTATGAATTACGGCCTTACAACGTCTTCCCATGGAGTGAACCAAGTCCTTTAGTTCTGCAGCTGTTATAATGTGAAACCAAGATTAAATGATTGCTTCTATTAACTGGGTTTTATTGCTGGGTTGCTTCTGACTAACAAGTTTCTTTAATCGGCTCCATAGATTTTCAATTGGGTTAAGGTCAAATAGTCCTTGCACTCAACTTCACATTGCATTGTGCCATTTCATCTTGTATACACCCAGATGATTTTCTTCTATCACGTAGGCACAGTCTCTTAATTCTTCTATCATCACTTGCTGTTGTGCACCTTTTCCTGCCTTTACCAGTGTGGTTTTGTAGTGACTAAATTGCCTTATACCTCTTCAAAAACTTAAAAATGCTACCTTTGGTTAAATTTCCATCAATTTTTCTTCTAATTTCTTTATAACTGTAGCCTTGTTCACTTAATAATACTATTTTACAATGCTTTCTGGGCAATCAGTCAATTCTTTACACCATTACTTTAATTTTATTACGCTTTACAAGCTCACTAAATGAAAGAACACAAAAAAACCCAACCAACTTGATAGCGATCACATAACACACTGACAAATGTCCTCCTCCCAGCTTCAATACATGACATCAATAACTGAATCCTACTGTGATCTGATTGGCTCATTGCCAAAACAAGATGGCACCTGATTGGCTCTCTAAACACTAATGCTCATTGGCTACAATCAGATGAAGGAAAGCTATCAACCTAAGCAAGTTGTGCTTCCTTTTTCTGGTTATTTGGCTATAACCTTTCATAGAATACAGATAATTGAACAACCTTTGTTGCATTACATTCCTTATTAAATTATCTTTCCATTGATATATAATTTTATGGTACTACTCCCAAAAAAGTGGTGTTATTAGCCATCAAACCTTAAATGTACACTTTTTCCAAAAGGTTTCCACAATTTTGGCCACTACTGTAGTTTTTTTTTGTATCTCTGTAATCCATTTTGTCAGGCTTTTCTTCTTATCTTCAGCTTTGTTTTGTGATTCTGGGGTGTGGGCTATCTCTTCCAGTTCTGGTGCTTCAGTCACGTCTTGTGTGTTTTCCTCCATCTGTGTTAAATCACAGTGCCTTCCATTGGTAGATTCTTTTATTTTCTGAAAATTCTTAAGTTGTGAGATTAACGTAAAGATATGTCCATTTATGTCATCAAAGTTGTTTTTAATTTCATTGTGGTTTGGATTAGTTGCGACATAGCGGGCATTTCCTTTTGGAAAGTATTTGGTTTTTCTTGACAAATTCTTTTTGCAAGTTCTTGAGATTCCATGATAGCAGGAATTCAATTTTTTTTCTTTCTCTGAAAACAGCTTTAAAAATCACAGTCAATAGGTGTTTATCATCCAGGAAGGTCAGTTATATTTTTCGATTATAATCTTTGCTTATTGTGGCTGACCCAGAATGTTTTGTTTAGCTCTTTTTAAAGATCAAAGAAGTAGGTTATCTCTTTCTCGACATCCTGCCAATATTTATAACAACGCAGCTAAAGTTATATTTTCTTCCACCACTAGATGTCAGCAACATTATGTTTTTGTCCCCCTTAATAGTTTAATTTACCGCTTCCTTCCATGGGAGGGTGGGGCAAAGCTCCCCCTCCTTTTCACTTTCGAAAGGCTTTTTTGCTTCTTAGAGTATCTTTTCCAAAAGTTCAGGATATATAATAGGAGAGAGAAGATCAAATTTCTCACCCAGTTTCAGCATGCTGTTTACCAATGTTCTGGTGAGTATTTATGGACTTCGGCTGCAAGTAGCTTGGGCTGGTTACCAAGGTGGGGCCAGCCTTTCTCCTGTTGGGTTAGAATGAATTTCCTGATCAAATGGGATGACTGCCATCGTTCCCGAATCACTGGGGCACTCCTCTTTCTTCATTGCCTCTTCGGGGCAGCTTTAGACCCATTTAGGATCCCCTGGCAGGGCAAAAATAGCTGCGGGAAGTGGAGTTTTTGCAATCCTGCAACCGTGCACTACCAGGCAAAACCGGAAGTCCAAAAGGTACAGATTCTTCAAGCTCTTCAGTCGATGCAATATAGAAAGTGCCTGATATATCAAACTTCATGCTGGTCACAAAGTGAAAGGGAGACAAATCTTAATTATCAGGAAAATTCCCATTTCCTAGTAATTATACTAGGAAAATAAAAAATATAAAAAACCCCTTATTTTTGCATCATACCACAGATATGCATATTATAGGTTGAAAAATATTGGTCCAACCTAGTTCTTGAAGTGTGGTCTGGATAATCTGGTGATTTCCCAAAACCTTTCAAGGGGTCTGCAAAGTCAAATATTTTTAACGTTTAACATTTTTAATTTCTAATACAACAGATATTGATAGATATAACCCACATAAACACAATCATTTAAAAGATGAACCACAATCATTTTTATGAATGTTAAAGAGCTTCTCAGACCAAAATGTTTGAGAGCCACTAGTCTAATCTATATTTAATGCACAGAATTTTAGTTGTTTTATAATGTATTTTCAGCCTAACCATAGCCTTAGTACCACAGCTAAAATGTTTTTCTACTCATATTTTTGTATCCTCTTTACATAAAGAAAGATCTTCAACTCAGACTTTGAAGACTTCACGAGATGTATCTCCTTCAGGAGCTACAGCACTGTCACCTACAAAAGTAAGTTTATCATATAAATTGCTAAATCTTTAGCAATAAAAATAATTTGAATGGGGAATATTTTTGCTACACGCTTCTCCCTTGATTTTGTGCTTATATTTTAAAGGCTTACATTAAGCTGGAGTGCAACAGGGTTTTCAGTTAGTCTCTTCTTGGTACACCTACGTCTTTAGTTTATTTTGGAAAGTTTCTCAGTTCTCTGCAGAAGATTTATTATTGGGTGAGTTCTGTTAGTAGAAGAATTTAAACATTCTTTATCCAGTACATAGCTTTTGCCACAGTAAGACATTTGAGTCTGCTTAAGATTTCTTAAATTGTTCACTAAAATGTTTCTATCTTATTGTACACATGTAGTCCACAAGTTACAAATGTAATGGAACCTGTCCATTCCATTCATAACTCGAACACTCATTAGGAGTGAATCTCGTACCTTGGACGCGGTCATTCCTTGCTTTCACCACGCATTTGCTAATCGAATGCTGTGCTCATTAAATGCACATGAGGTATCCCATGGTGGGGAAGGCCATGGGGGGGCCTAGTGATGGAACAGGCCCTGAAGGCTCCCAGACCCATTAAGATACCTCATACTTCCCCCTCCCTACCTGCCGTGCCGGACTCACTTTGCAAAGTTCTGTCTCTTTGCCGCAGTTTCTTTCCCTTTGAGGGAGAGGAGAGTCGGCTTGGAAATGCTTTTCGTGCCAACAGTGCTAGCTTCTGGGATCCATGATCTCACACAACTTCAAGCACCCATTTTCTGCAGAAGAGATCATGGCCTCTGGAAGCTTCCAATCTCCGGGAGGAAAGTGTTTGCTTCATTTGCATGCCTATGGGGCAAAGCTCCTCTTACTCATGTCCAGCCCGCTGGAATTCACCGCTCTTCTCCTCCTTGTCCTCCCTGCTCAAGCAGTGGTGGGCTTTGTGAGACAATGAAGTCTCATTCCTCCCTGGCACGGTGAGTTTTGGCGGGCTGGACATGGGTGTGAGGGGCCTGGCCCTGTGATGCCTCCCTGATCAGCTGAAGGCTTCATTTTTAAGGTCGGCACATTCGAGCAAGCAGTGCACCCGGGCCTTACTGTTTGAGAGCAGTCCCATTGCTATACCTTCGCTTTCTTCAGCTCGGATGGAACCGGGGCATCCAAGCTGCTGGCAGCAGAGGCCACCTGAGCAGCCATGATCCTCCCTCCTCAGCCAGCCAGCACCCCACCTGACCTACTACCTGCCTGGCCAGCTGGCACAAGGCTTCACCATTCTTCTCCTACTTGTCCTCCTTGCTCAAATGGCAGTGGGTTCTGCTGGAGAACGGGGTCTCGTTCCTCCTCTGCCGTGGCGAGTTCCAGTAGGCTGGATTCGAGTGCAAGGGGCCTGGCCCTGTGATACCTCCCCGCTCAGCCCACTCAGTTGAAGGCTTCATTCCTGCCCTTAATGTAAGGTCAGTGCACGCGAGTGAGCAGTGCACTTGAGCTAGGGACGGCATTCATTCCTGCGCCCAGCCAATTCCATTCTGTCAGAACCCATTTCTTTGGGGGGGGGGACTTTTACTAGTTGGGTCTTTTCTTTTCCTTCTGCGGGTTCTGCCATACTCCTTATCAGCCTCGTTCCCACAGCGGACTTAACACCTGGGAATTGGCCTGTTTGAACTGACCGGATGAACTATTGGGGTGGGTTTGCTTTTTGCTCCTTTAACCTATTGATTTGAGCCCTTAGATCCTGCCTTCTATGCCTGCTGTCAACTTCTCCTAATAAAAGTTTCTTTTGGGATGATTCCATTCCAAAAGCGGGTCCTTAATTAGGCAGGATCTGCAGAAGTCGGTCAGCCTGGAAGGAAGATCCTTACCACGGTGACCGTGCAAACTATGTCTGAATTAGGTACAGAGAAGGAGCAAACCACCGTTGGGGGGGGGGAGATTTCCCTCCAAGCTGACCCAGGCAGATGCAGCTCGCATTCCTCTAGCTCCTCCAATGAAGTTGTGGTTGCTGAGCACCGAGATAAACCAAGGTGGTCGATGGGCTTGGGAAGAAGGAGGACTGGGAGCAGAAGGCAAGGAAGGTGACCCTCAAATGTGGCAGTCACCAATCAGGCTGGAAATTGGAGATGGAGATATCGCTCCATCTCAGCGAAGACCAGGACGAAAGACCAGCCCACTTCATCCAGTTCCTAGAGCAAGCCATCGATATGCTGAGAGTTGCTTTCGACTCCCTCAAGGAAGAGACAGCTGATCCGTGTTGTGGCATAGCAAACCCAAGTCCAACTGAGGACGCAGGTGGTGTCGGAATCGAGGCAGCAAACCCAGGTCCCTCCACCAGCACTTCGGAGACTGCAGCCGCCACCACAGCAGTAGCCACCCCCACCCGAGCCGCACCAGTTGACAGGGATGGACACCAACCTAGGAGAAGGAGAGGTCACTGTGCCAGTTGCAAGTTCCCGTAACTGGGGGTAAAGTACAGTGGAGAATCTCAAAAATTGGGGTTCTTCTTAGCTCAGGTCCTGAGCTACATGGAGGAATATGGAGGAGACATCCCCAGTGACCACAGGCGAGTGAGGATCATGACCATGGTACTAGATGGGGCGGCGGCCAAGTAAATGGTGAATCTCCACAATTCAGATGCTCCAGAATTGTGGAATTTTAACCATTTCATGGCAGCCTCAGGAGACGATTTGAGGATCCCTTAGCTGATTGGAAGGCCAGAGAGTGCATAAAAACTGTCAGGCAAGGCCAGCGCCCCATGGCAGAATACACAGAGGACTTCTGAGCTCGTGCCAGCAAATTTAATTGGCAAGAAGTTCTGGTGGGACATTTCAAAGATGGGCTTAACGGCGACCTGTATTATGCCTGCATTCCCTGGGGCTTCTCTGACCTGCTCCACGACTGGTACATCCTGGCCGAGGAGGCTGAGATCGATCGGGCCAGAAGACAACGGCATCTGAGATGATCCTGGGGAAAATCTCCAGCAAGGGCACCCCCGGACATGCTGGCACATTTGTCTAAGGAAGATTTTTTCAAAGTTGGAGGCATTTTATAGAGTTAGAATTAAAGAATGGGATGAATGGAAAACCGCATTCAACTGCCCCTTAGGTTGTTTCCAATTCAGGGTCCTGCTGTTTGGGCTTCAGGGAGCACCCACAGTATTCATGCAGCTGATAAACGAGGTGCTCCAGGAACACCTCTATAAGGGGGTGCTTATCTACCTGGACGATATCCTGATATTCACTGAGACTAAGGATGAATGTATAAAATTGGTCAGAGTAGTGCTGAACAAGTTGCAGGCAACCCGCTTGTATGCCAAGTTATCTAAGTGTGAGTTCCACAAAGATAGAATCGATTACCTTGAATATCACATCTCATCAAACGGCATAGAGATGGACCCCAGAAAAGTCCGGGCTGTGTTAGAATGGACTCTGTCCTGCACCAGGAGACAACTGCAAAGCTTCCTCAGGTTTGCAAACTTTTACTGCCAGTTCATCCCCTCTTTTGCACAAATTGCATTGCCCATCAAAAATCTACTAAAGACTAAGGAGGGGAAACTGAAGCCCAGCCAACCTTTAAAATGGACTGTAGAATTCCAAGCCGCCTTTGAGAAATTAAAAAGGTTATTCTCAGCTGAACCAGTCTTAAAACACCCCTATACTGAGAAACCTTTCATAATTCAAGCTGATGCTAGTGATGTAGCAGGGGGGCAGTACTGCTTCAGGAAAATAATGAAGGGAAATTACAACTTGTACATACACATTGAGGAAACTCACAGAGACAGAACAAAGGTGGGAGGTTTGGGGAAAGGAGGCTTATGCCATCAGGTGGGCTCTCTTAATCTGGCGACATTTCTGGGTACGGATTGACCATAAGAATCTGGAACCCCTAAAAATGCCCAGGAAACTATCTCTCAAACAGACGAGATGGTCCCAGCATTTTCACCAGTTTAATTTCACTATAAAACATTTACCGGGGGGGAGGGGATTTCCTAGCGGACGCATTGTCACAATTACCGCAATACAACATTACCAAAACAGAGATAACAGATCCACTCATGGCATCAAAGCAGTTACCAGCACCAGTCACCACTCGAGCGCAAGCCAAAACCCCAAAGACTCTAATAAGTCAAGCTGGAGTGGAATTCAGGAAAGCACTAGAAAAAGACTAATGATTTCTAAGCCACAAAAACTTATACACAATGAACGATGAACTGCCATGGGTGAGAGAGAAATTCTACATTCCAAAAAGCCAAAGACTCCAAATCCACCAGGCATTTTGGATGCGTGAAAACCCTCCATTTAGTAAAACAGCAATTTTGGTGGGATCGATAAAAAAGGACATTGAAAGCTATGTAGCTAGCTGCCCAATATGAGCAGTAGCAAAAGGAGACAGGGGAAGAGCCACCCCGTCAACACCCTGGAGGGAGATTTCTATGAACCTTATTGTGGAATTACCAGAAAGTGGGGAAAATACAATACAGTGATTTGGGTCATTATGGACTTATTCTCTAAACAAGTTGTTGTGGCCTGTCGGCCGCCAAAAAACTCAGCAACCGATTCAGATGAGGAAGCACAGGAATGGGTGCTGGGCTCAGTGTCAGGGCCATCTGAAAGCTCCGATGAGGGAATGGAGCTGTCACAGCCAGGGTCAGAGGTGGAGCCTGGGCCATCCACCAGCCCTCAGATGGAAAGGTTGAGACCTCCATGCCTTGAGGCAAGTAAGTCAGGAGAGGAGGATCACATGGGGCCAGTAATTAATGTGTGGGCATGGCGGAAGCTGAGGAGAACCCTGAGAGGCTATGGGGTGGTTTTCCGTTCGGAAGAGTCATCGCTGCTAACATAGCCCCACCCTCAGTTGTGCATAAAAGGCAGGGGTGGAGACGAATAGGTGTGGCAGAAAATTATTCGTCTTCCTGCTGGTCAGCCACTTGTGTTTGGAACTCCTGATACTTCTTGGAATTTTGCCAGAGTTTTTCCTGCAGATCCTGTGGCGCTGGAAGTCAGAGTGCCTTCTGAGCGTGGGTGTTGTTAAACAATAGCCAGATTGCTTGAAGGACTTTTGGCTGCAAGTATGGTGAGACTGAGAGTAACTCTGGGTATTGGGAGACCCCTACAGGGGAAAAGGGAGCGAGCACCATTGTTTGGAGACTGTGTGAAACTGCTGGCGCTCCTGAAATAAAGGAACGTTAGAGAATATTGGCGTGTTTGTTGTGTTTGGGGAGCTGGGTCAGAACACAAGTACATTTTATCCCATGCCAGAAAATCCCCACCGCCAAAACCTTAGCAAAGTTATTCGTGCAGCACATTTATCGACTACATGGAGCCCCACAATGGTTTATATCCGATGGGGGTGCAATTCACTTTGGAGTTTTGGAAGGTGTTTCTAGAATTTTTGGGGACCACCCAGGGACTGTCATCTAGTCATCATCCTCAAACGAATGGTGGGACTGAATGTTTGAACTCAGTACTGGAGCAGTACTTAAGATGCTTTATAAACTACCAACAAGACAATTGGACCGACCTGCTTCCGTTCGCAGAAGTCTCCTATAACAACGCAGTACATTCCAGCGCCGGCTACACTCCGTTCCAAGTAGCAACAGGACAGAGTTTTAATCCTATGCCTGAACTACCCTCCACTGAACTGACCATCCCCTCCTTGAAAGAGTGGATCACACAACTCCAAAACACCTGGCCAGTTGTGAGAAAAGCTTTAGATGAGGCTAGGGAAGCATATAAGTTCCAAGCAGATAAAAACGAACTGAGCCCAAACCATTCCAAGTAGGGGAAAAAGTATACTTGTCTACTAAATACCTGAAATCCCTGCAACCCTCTAAGAAACCGGGATCAAAATTTGTAGGACCTTTCCCCATTAAAAGGAAAATCAATCCAATAACAGTTAAGACACTTAGACAGGTTCACCCGGTATTTCTCTGCAGCCTCTTAAAGCATGAACTGATCTCGCCTTTAAGGCCAGCTGCAACCCCTCCTCCTCCTCCAATCATGGTAGAAGGGGAGCAGCACCTTCAAATCAAAGACAATTTGGACTCTAGGAAACATCATGGGTCCACACACTATTTAGTAGCTTGGAAGCATTTGCCTCCATCCCAGAACGAATGAGTCCTTAAACACCATATTAGAGCCCCTAGGCTGCTTAGTGAATTCTATGCTATGTACCCTGATAAACCAGACTAATTGCTCTGTTTATCTCCCTTTTGTCTTTTTACAGGTGGACCTCTCTTTCTTTTAAGGGGGGTGGCATGTCAGAACCCATTTCTTTGGTGAGGAGGACTTTTACCAGTTGGGTCTTTTCTTTTCCCTTCCGTGGGTTCTGCCATACTCCTGGGGGGAGGAGGGGGGAGCCTTTGGGGAATTGTTATGTACCTTTTCCTTTCACTTAGCTGCTACATTGTATCCTCTCCGCTTCCTCTATCTGCTTGCTCTTTGAACTGTTCTCCCCTTGATGCCAACCTGGGGTGAGAAATGAATGTGCCTCCGGCCATCTGGCTTATCTCTCGCTGCAGAAGAGAAGATGCGAATACCCAACAACGTTTTCACAGCCTTGGGAATGGAGTCTTTTCAACCTCATTCCCACAGCAGACTTAACACCTGGGGATTGGCCCATTTGAACTGACCAGATGAACTATTGGGATGGGGTTTGCTTTTTGCTCCTTTAACCTATTGATTTGAGTGGGAAACCCTCAGATCCTGCCTTCTATGCCTGCTGTCAACTTCTCCTAATAAAAGTTCCTTTTGGGATGATTCCGTTCCAAGAGTTCTGCTTTCTTGGGAAAAGGTTTTGAAGTGGGTCCTTATACATGCTTTGTCCCATAGGCATGAAAATGAAGCAAACACTTTTTCTCCAGAGAATGGAAGCTTCCGGTGGCCATGATCTCTTTTGCAGAGAATGGATGTTTGAACTCATGTGAGATCATGGACCCCAGAAACTTCCATTGTCAGCGCGAAAAGCATTTCTAAGCCAATTCTCTCCCTCAAAGGGAAAGAAACCACGGCAGAGAGGAGACAGATCTTTGCAAGGTAAGTGAATTTGGCATGGCAGGAAGGGAGGGAGAGCAGTTGTGGGAGTGGGGGGGAATAGGGTGAATATTACAGAGCCTCTGCAGTTGTTCCGTAGTGCTGCAACATTCGTAATTTTGGGCTTGTTCATAAATATTAGGGAGCGCTTGTCTCATAACTTCGAACGGATGCTAAGTGACCGCTTGTAACTTGCAGATTACATGTACAATTTCATTTACACTCTGAGATTTTTTGTTTATCAGACTTTGGAGAAAAGCAGCAGATTATCAGAAAAGGAGCTTGCAGAGACTGCAACCCGATGGGCAGCTGAAAAAGCAGAGAAAGTAGAGACAAGCAGTATACCTGAAATTTCAGAGTATGATGTGAGTAAAAATAACACTAATAAACTTTTGTCCATGATCATTTATTTTATTCACTCATTTATATCCTGCCTTTCCTTTTGTAGATCGGTTCCTTCAGTACTAGGCTTGCAATCATGTGAAATAAGTTGAACAGAAAAATAATGAGTTATATATGTTGAATGGATGATGTTTCCTAATTGCTAACCTCACCATATTACTAAATTTGATAATTCTATAGTTATCAACTTAACTTGTGCAAGTCTGTAGTCCAGACCTGGGCATTTTATACTCTGTGGGCCATAGCTGGCCTGCAGGCAGTCCCACTTACTACCTCTGGGGGTGGGGCATTGGCAGTGGAGAACAGGGCAGGAGTAGGAGCAGGGCAGGGTGGGGGGAGCAGTGGCAGCCCTTTATAACAGTCCCAATTTCTCATTATTTTCTCTTGGAAAAATTAATTATCACCCTTGATATAGTATGAACTAGATAGTTTAGTAATATAGAATTTTGGATCACTTCTGTGAAACCAATATTTATTGATTACACTTGGCCAGAATTTCTTCCATCTTAACTTTTAAAAAAATAAATATTACACATTTTCAGGGAATGTACCATGTTGGTGTGATGCACAAAATTCAAAAAATAGTTATATATTCCTAAAGATACAATAGAATTCAGTTTATGAGATTTATTGAGTATTACCTTCAGTTGAGACACTAATGAAGAAAAATTAAATAGCAATTAAATATAAAAAATATAGGCTTTAACGAATTTATGAAGTTAAAAGTAAGAAAGTAGCCATTCACCGCAACAGTAAATAGTGGTATCAGAAATTAGTTAATTCTTGTACTACCTGTTCTGAGACAAACTGTCATGCATGAGCTGAACAAGCAGTCTTTTTCTCCCACACAACCCGGATGGCAGATTTGAAAGTCCTAGTTTTAGTTAATTGGATAATGTATTTTCCAGGTTAATCAACCATGCATGTTTGTTTAATAGATACAGGTAATACTTAATTTACAATAGCAATTGGGACCACAATTTCTATTGCTAAGTGATGTAGTCATAAAATGTGATCACTTAGCAATGGCAATCCTTGCATTTCCATGCGCCAGGCAGATAAGTGGCTGCTGCTGAATACAGAAGGGAACAAGAGGATGTGTGTAGATGTAGGAAAGGCACAATGAAGGGCATGGAGAGTGGAAGAGGTGATGTAGGTAGAACGAGTCTGAGGAAATGCACAAGTGGTGAGGGTTGGAAGGGATGCATGGAGGTGTGGTGCAGGTCAGGGAGAGTGCACAAAATTATGTGTGGTTGCTATGAGTGCAGAAGGGCTGGGGCAGAATGAGTGAGTGGAAATTACTCTTAATTTGCAACCTTCCCTGCCAGTTTCCCCACTGATTTTTCTGCAGAAGTCCAACAGGGAAGATTGCAAGGGGTGATCATAGGATATTGCAGCCGTTTGTAAGTATGAATAAGTTGCCAAGCTCCCAGATTTTGATTACATGACAGGGCACATGGTAAAATCTTGGATTCTTGGCAACTCACTCATGCTTACAACTACAGGAGCAATTCAAGCTCATATATAATGCAAAAGACAACTGTGGGAAAAGTTGGGTCCAAAAAGGAGACAGCAAAAAGAGTCTAAAAAGAAGATAGCAAAGGCAATAAGGCATTTCTTCTTTGGTAGCTGGGTGCAAAAGGTGAAAGATTAGTGTAGGGAACTGGGAGAGAAGGCCGCTGAGCAAGCTGTACAGTCCTGGGCCTGCTTGCTGCTCCATAAAGCAGGGTACAGGTTGGCCAAAAGTCAGATGTGAGGGAAGATCAGCAGATGGGAGAATTGGAAGCAGTCCCTTGCCATACTGAGGCTTGGATTTGAGTAGGTACTCAGTTAATGATCCATGATCTTGGTTAATGGTTGCAACAGTGAGCACCATGATTGCCATCATAGGTTGGTACAATCACATGACATCTTGCTTTATGACCAGACTGACTTATGACTGAGATTCCAATCCCAAGGTGGAATAGTATCTTTGATGCTGAGTGTATTTTCTTCTATTTTTATCCCCAATGTAATACAGATGCCTAGCTTTTCAAATCTGATACGCTTCTTATCCTTACAAATAAAAAATGATCTCCTATAATTTTTTTAAAGAATCTTGCTTAATTATCTGAGTAAAATGTTTCTTTGGTGTATGATTATGCTTTTTGGCATTTATTTAAAATTTGATCCTCAGAAAGTTTAAAAGAAATTCACAGCTAGTTCAAGATCTAGCTTGTCACCAAAATGCAAAGCTCTTCTCCAAAAAGGAAAAAAATGTGCCTGAAGAATTAGGCAGTCAGGATTGCACAGCTTTTGTTGAAAATATTTGGAAATATGGACTTAATGTTCTTTTTGAATTTCTCAGTCTTCTTCCACAGTAACTATATTACTAAAACTATATGCCTTCTTCAATATAATTAGATTTCACTTAATTGGTACTCATTGCTTTATGCATGTTTAAAATCTGAAAGGTGATATCTTAAAATTTGTTTATTTATATCCTGTCTTTATTGTTTTTATAAATAACTCATGACGGCAAACATAGCTAATACTTTTTCCTCCTGTTTTCTCCACAGAAAAGCCCTGTGAGTTGGGCTTATATAAGATAAATATATAAAGATATATAAGATAAGAGGGTGACTGGTGTAAGATCACTCAGTTAGCTTTTATAGCTATAGATTAGAACTCCTGGTGTTCCAGTTTCTAGACTGGTGTTTTAATCACTAGGCCAAACTTTCCGGTGTAATACATCTGGTTGCTATCACAGCACATCAGATCTGAAATATCTATTGTTTTACCCAATGATTTGTAATATATTTTGATATTGGTTTAATGTAAGTATACTTACAGATTTCATAAGTACAATAAATTTGATTGTTTTCCTAATGTGAACTGTGAAGATTGCTTGAAATAAAAGAATGCAGATAACTAATGGCAATTATTTAATTTAACAATATTTCATATAATGGGTTTTAGCCACATGAAATTATTCTTCATTTTTAAAGGCCACATCCTCAGACCCATTATATATAGAACACCATGAAAAAGCAGGTGCCAGTATAACTGACAGCAATGAATTATTTGAAGACAACCATCATGTTAGTCGCTCAAAGGCAATTGCTGCAAAGACAAAGGAAATTGAACAAGTAAGCCACACTTTGACTGCCTTTTATGAATATTTGTGAGGGGTTTTTTTCCTCCAAATTAACTTTGCTGTGCAATTTTACTAAAAGTTTTAACTGATTTACACAACATAGTATAAGGTGAAATAAATAGCAAATTTATTACAATGATCTAAATTTCTAAAATAAATCTGGCACTTTCTTTTAGTACAAAAAGGATTTAATTGCTTTTGCTGTTTTTTGTTATCACTCATTGGATTGACAATATAAAGGAATGCTTAGTGAGGTTAGCTTGTTTCACTATCTAAATTAGACTTCAATTTTGGAAGTATAAGGTATTTTCACTATAATTTGCAAATTTGTCATGACTATATTTTGGAATGCTATTCAATAATGATTTTCTTATGGATAAAGTAAATGACTATCTCCGGTGTTACTGTTTGTGAACATCTATTAACCTTTGTGGGGCAATGGAGAAAATGCTTATAGCAAAATACATTTCTTCACATCTCTATTTAAATTTTTAATCACCTTCCATATTTAAATCATCTTACACTGTTTTTAATTTCAGTATTTGTTACTGAGAAAGTAGAGTAAATTTCCTGAAGAATAGAATTATGCTTTTAACAGCACAGCATGCTAACAGGAGTTTAAAATTAAGCTGAGACTGGAAGCAGGTGCTCTTGCTAGCAGTAGCAGTAGTGCTTAGACTTATATACCGCTTCATAGTACTTTACAGCCCTCTCTAAGTGATTTACAGAGTCGGCACATTACCCCCAATAATCTGGGTCCTCATTTTACTCACCTTGGAAGGATGGAAAATTGAGTCAACCTTGAGCGGGTGAGACTCGAACTGCTGGCAGCCAGCAATCAGCAGAAGTAGCTGCAGTACTGCATTCTAACCACTATGCCACCTCAGCTTTATAGATGCTAGTATAGGTCTAGTACAGTGGTTCTCAACCTTTTTAGTGCCGCGACCCCCAACCGGTCGTAAGTCGAGGACTACTCAACTGGTGCAGCACCGTTTGCAGAATGGGACTTTTGGCGGGCTCAGCAGGGCAGAGACAGCCTGGACAATTCCTATTGGCTTTTGAAAGCCAATAGAATTAGACTCTATTCAAGAGAGTCTATTCTATTGGCTTTCAAAAGCCAATAGAATAAAAGGGAGTAGCACAGCTAAGGAGAAGGGGGAAAAAATGGCGGACTGCGTTGTTTGGCGACCCACGTGAAATGGTCGTTCGACCCCAAATGGGGTCCCGACCCACAGGTTGAGAACCACTGGTCTAGTACGTTTAATCCTTTTTATGAAACTATAGCAACAACTACTTGGACCCACATCTGTTTTAGGCTGTAATAAAAATGATTATTCTGACTCTTTCCCAATATGCTGTTTTTTAGATGTATTGAAACTACATCTTGCAGCATGGCCAGCATGTCTAAAGAGCAGCATATTAAAAAAAAGCTTAGAAAAGAAAGTAACATATTGAAGGAATAGGGAAAAACATTTTAGATAAAAATAGTAAGGAAAGAGAAAAATAAAATACACTTAATGTTTAAACAAGTGCTTTGATATCATTTTGTTTCTTTGTAAAATGCAGTTCCATAAGTAGAATTAGAATAATTGAATGCCAAGATTACATTTTAGAGAGAGTATACAGTATATCTATTCATGGATGCTTCTTATTGTAGAGCAGGGGTGTCAAACTGCTGGCCCACGGGAGCCGCGCCTACCGGAGCCGCGCCTACCCTATAGCCAGCAATAGCGAAAAAGCTCCGATACGTTGCGTGATGTCACGTGACGTCGCGAGTTTGACATGCCTATTGTAGAGGAAACGTATGATTCATTGCCTTGCTGAACTAGAGCAGTTACTAATCAACTCTTTGCTGTCTTTTTAATCTTTGCTTTCTTCCTTTTTATATTCTCATGAACTTTTATTTTCCTGTTTGGATAAACCTTAGCATTGGGTAAACCATAGCATTCTATTATGTGGAAATTTCTAATTCTGATTTAGAGACTGGGTATGAATCATGGCTAGCTGGTTAAATTAAGCTTAAAAAGCTTGTATAATGGTTAGCACTAAGGAACTGTAAGAAGGAATATATCATAATAATCCTTCCAAGTAGGATCAAGCTATCTGTAATGATGTCTATCTTGCATCCCATACATATAAATCCTTAGCAGAGTAACAAACTGCTTTTAGCTATTTAAAAAAACTCCTTGAAAAGTTTCATACATATTCAATTCATATTTAAATATTTTGTGCTGTTTCTACAATGTGCTGTTTTTATAATGTGTTAAATACACCTGTCAAGTTTTGCCAGCAGTTTCTCTAGTAAATACCTTTGCAACTGTGTAAAATTAAGAAATATAGGTTAAACTACTCATTACAAATTTTGAATAACTACTCATTTGTATTTTATTCCTTTTTTGTTAGTCTGATAGTTGAATTGCTTTGCCACATAGCTTTTTTTCTAAGAAGAAAATGCAGTTTGTAGATTTTTCTTAGAATTTTGGAATGAATCTTTTAAAACATACATTTCTGTCTCCAGTAAAAATGGGATATATTTCCAAGACTATACAGTGAAATCCACCATCTCATTTACATGTGTCTAAATTAAAATTCCTTCCTGTGTGACCTATAAACAGAAAACCAGAATTAGCAATGCGTTTCTAGCTAGCAAATAATACTAAGCAAACAGTTTTTAAGATAAACTTGCACCCTTCCTGTTTTTGCAGAGAACAATTTTACTATGGAAGGGGTTTAGGAAACAGCTTTCAGATAGCTTGTTACTTTTATTGTAATTATTGAAGGGTGGGGTCCTTTCTATAGTGAAAAGTGAATTATTCTTTGTTGTATTTTTAGATGTTTATTTTTGTCTTTTTATATTTTACAAACAGTTAAAGACGTTAAAAGAGTCATATCTAACTATGATTTATGCCATCGTAAATTTTTTGGCTTATATTCGGAGGACCAGATCCTTTAAATGTTGTGGAAATCCAGTGACCAATTTCTTGAGGTAGTCATGCTTAGATGAATATAGTGGTAGAGTTTTACCAAAGTATTGGTACTCAGTCCCAGAGGAGATCAACCCTGACTGCTCTTTAGAAGGCCAGATCCTGAAGTTAAAACTCAAGTACTTTGGCCACCTAATGAGAAGGAAGGACTCACTGGAGAAGAGCCTAATGCTGGGAAAGATTGAGGGCAATAGAAGAAGGGGATGACAGAGAATGAGGTGGCTGGATGGAGTCACTGAAGCAGTAGGCGTGAGCTTAAATGGATTCCAGAAGATGGTAGAGAACAGGAAGGCCTGGAGGAACATTATCATCCATGGGGTCGCGATGGGTCAGACACGACTTTGCAACTAACAACAACAATAGGGTTGCATATAATTTCATTTTAGTGAGATAGTTGTGGAAAAGCAGTACTTGATTCCAGCACAACTACAATAGTTTCTTTGTTAGTCTCAGTTATACACAATTGAACTATACAATACAGGTAGTCCTCAACTTACGACTACAATTGACCCCTGGCACCAAGTCAAGTTTCCAACATGCAATCACATCATCCTATCCCAGCACTTGAGGGAAAACCAGTAGTTCAGTGCAATTCAGAAGATTAGGAGGGTAGAGGCCTGCCAAATTTCAGGGGGAAGAGTGTTCTACAAGGCAGGGATGGCCATGGAAAAGGCAAGCTGCTTAACTCCCATAAAATGGCAATGGTTAAAGGAAGGGATTCAGAGCAAGTTCACCTTATATGATCTGATAGGATGGGTAGATGTCTTTAGGAAAGGACATCTGTTATTGAGCTGTCCTTTCTTTTTAACTCTTTTGGGATTGTGCACCCGTGCACTGCGGCCAAAGATTCTTAAATGTTCCAAAGATGTTGTCTTCCATACAACATGTAATATGGAGCTTGATTAATTGCTGAACTCTACTGACCAAATAATTGGCAGTTAAAGTTGCCTCTCCCCAATATAGCTTATTCATTCCTGCATCTGCTAGCAGTGCATCATTCATAGTTTGTAACATATCATTCCTGTATTCAGCAACTCCATTCTCTGCTGAAGTGTAGAGATTGGTTCTTCTATGGGTTATACCTTTCTTTCTCAGCCACTGCTGAAACATGTTAGACGTGAATTCTATTCTTCTGTCTGTTTGTAGCTGACATACATTTTGTTTATACCTCCTCTCTATAAATACTACCCACTGCTTAAATTGTTGAAACACTTGTTTTGCTTTTTAGTAAATAACAAAACCCATATCTAGAGAAATCATTAACAGTTATCAAAGCAAATTTGGTCTCTCCCATTGATGGGAGTAGAGGGCCAATTTAATCAGCATGCACTAACTGAAAAATCCTGTCAGATTTCCTTTAACTTCTTTTGCTGATGGTATACTTTTGATTTGACTTCCTTGCAAATAGCACAATATAATAGTTATCACAATCTTTTACATTTAAACCTACACCCAAGTCAGGTGTTTTCCGCAATACTTTAAAGCTTCATGACCCAGCCTTCTGTGCAATAAATGTGCACACCCATTATGCTTTGATTCATTAGAAAAGATTGTGCACTGCCACCAGTTTCCTTGTGGTTCAAAATATATAAATTGTTCAATTTCAAACCTTGTGCACACACCCTGTTATTCTTTATGACCTTGCATGTACCCTTTGCAAAAATTACCTCATACCTTTCATTGTCTAAGCAAGACACACTCAGCAAATTGTGATCTAAATCTGGTACATATAAATCTTATCAATTTACCAATATATGGTATATATACCGTTCCTTGCCCTTGTACAAAAGAATGATTACCATTTGCCAGGCTTATATATTCCTAGGCAGCAGGTCTCAGACAGGAAAAAAGTTATGGGTTATTTATAATATGCTCACTAGCCCAACTGTCCAATAACCAATGTCTTTGTTGTTGTTTTTTGTTCACCTACACCACAGAAATCTGTTTTCTTTGATCTCTGTGCTTTCTTTCTCCTGCTGGAATCTTTAATCTTCTTATTCCTCCCATCAGGTAAATCACAGAGAGCATATAGGGCACAAAGGGCAAAAAGCAGGAAACAAGAAAACTCTCACAGTAACAAATTACAGCTCAGATTCCCTCATGCAGTAGCCAGCTCTCTTTAACCAATTAGCTATAAGTGTGTGTTAATACTCATTGTTCAACACTTCACTGCTCCAGGTATTAAATTTTAAATATCTTAACACTTGTTTTCAAATCTCAGAAAACATGCATAATAACAGGCACGAAAACCAGGTCCACATGTGAAGGTCCAATTAAACTGATTTATTACTAAAAAGCCTATGCACAGGAATCTTCTCAACTAATGGTTAGTACCTGCTTGGAGTTAGTTGAGTGTCAACAGAGTTCAAGGGGCAGTTGGACTTAGTCTGCTTGTGGCTATGTGGCGAATCTAGGCTGTTCCCTCTTTTATTTCCATTCCCAGGTTCTGCCACTGCTTCTCCTAAACTCATTTTTCTTCATTCCAAGAAATGGAAATGTAAGACCATTTTTATAAGATCTGTAAATCTAGCTATAGTTCAGTTTGGGGTAGATAACTATAGAGTAATGTATTTCATTGCATGCATTTCTAAAACTCATTTTTTAGGTATATCGACAGGATTGTGAAACTTTTGGTGCTGTGGTGAAGATGCTGATCGAAAAAGACCCTGCATTAGAAAAAACCATTCAGTTTTCTTTGAGACAAAATTTGCATGAGATTGGTGAGCGATGTGTCGAAGAACTTAAACACTTCATTGCAGAATATGATTCTGCGAGTCAAGAATTTGAAGAAACGTAAGATAAATTATGGGTTGCTCATATATAAAGGCTACCTGATTCATCGATGCTAATGATCTATATTTGTTCATCTTGCATTTAATCTCTTCATAAAATTGAATTAATTGCAAAACATACAATATTATTTACTGAGTTGGTTCTGTTTGGAAAATATATTGACTATACAAAGTTCAATTCATGTCAGCCATATTTTGAAAATCCTTAACAAAAAGAGCTGCTCCAATTATTGAAACAGGTTGCTATTTGAGTATGACCATTTGGTAATTTTATTGATATTGATGAATGTATATAAAATAGTAACGTGCACCTGTATTTATATAAAATTTACATATGTGTTGCCTTTAATTAGAGTAGCTATATAAATTTGATTGGAAACCATTGTTTGAACAGTTCCATTAAGCTAGTTGTTTAGCTTAATAGTTTTGTAAGTTCAAATAGCCTGTATAATTAAACTTGTTCAGAGTTGTATCAAAATTTGCATTTTCTTGAAAACTTTGTACAGTTGTATAAACAATAGTTGTCTTTAATAGTAATGGAAAATATATATTCTTATTCTCTTCTGGAGTTTCTGTAATTTCCAGTACACTATGGGATATTATTTTTAGAAATGGTTCTAGTGAAGGCAACACAAGTGTTTTCAAAATATAAGAATTGTGTAATTCATCATTTCACAAATAGTACAGTAATTCAAACAAGATGATACTTCCCATAATTGTAGGGTAGAAGAGTAAGCAAGCTCATAATTGCAATTCAATTGCAATTGCTGAACTTTATCCAACATCACTTTGTTATATATTACTGTTACAATTTGAGACTAGGCTACTTGAAAGGATTCTTCCCAGAATTGCACAAGGTTGGTTACATTCACATATCATACTTGATAAAATGATTGACTGCCACATGGACAGCAGGATTATCTATTACAGTTCAAGTGTACTTTCCACATGTAATATACAGAACAATTTTGGTCTTGTAAATTCAGGTGTTGTTTACCCATGGTTAGGTGTAAGATTATTTAATCCTAAAGTAACAAAAAGTAAGTTTCCTCTGTTTAAACAGATGGGTGATTTGAAGGCAATACTTCCTGTATTCATAAGAATGGAAAGAAACATGGTATATGTTTGTTGTTTAAACCCATAAAAATGGATAAACATACAGATATGCTTCTGAACACATCAATCTGTCCCTCAGTTTGCCTTAGTTAACTAATGACCAGTGAAAGGGACTGTGAAAGTTTTAACTGAAAGCAGCTAGAACATACTATATTACATTTCAGTGTTCTGAGCTATACACAGAATATGGAAATAAACCAAATTTATAAATTATGTAAACAAATGCCCCCAGAAATTGTGGGCGTTTCATCACTGGAGATTTTTTAAAAGAGGCTAGACAGTCACTTGTCTGAAACGGTATAGGTTCTGCTTGAGCAGGGGGCTCAGCTAGAAGGCCTCCAAGGTCCCTTCCAGCTCTATTCTATTCTAATGACAGAAAGCCAGTTATTAGAAACTGAGTTAAAGAATTGATCTCACTAACTAAATAGAAATAAAATTCAGCAAAAGCCAGTAGAAAATTATATCACTTGGATGCTGATGGAACTTGAGCCTACTTAAGATAGGCTCAATAAACAAATCCATATCATATTAAGCAAAGAAGCTACAAATGTAGATTTGAACTTTCTACTAAGATTCTTAGTAGAAAGCATGGTATAATTTTATTTAGTTGATCTTAGAAATAACATTCTTCTGATTGTGAAAACATTCACTTTTTGTTATTAGAAGAATATATTGGGCGATTTATTAATCTGAGATCAAAGTAGGGTGAGATTAATTTACTCATCAGAATCAGCTTTTATGTACTGCTATTTAACCAAGCAGGATATACCAATGTATCCTGTACAAATCACCTTTTAACAAAGCAATACAGTATGTTATCTGTTTTAGGTTTAGAACCTAGCATTGAAATTTAGCTTAAAGTATAATGTTTAGCTCAATTTATACATGCCAGTTTTACTTGTTTAATTTACACAAAGTTTATTGACCCATAAATAATTATTTAATATTGTGAACCATAGCTGAAACATTGTTTACATAGCTGCACCATGCAAACAGAGCTTTACTAGCAAAAATTAAACATTTCATTATAAATGTATGAATATTTAATAAATTCCTGCCTAAACCAAACTGATCTTAAACCTTCTAATAAAATTATTTGTCTATCTTAAACAAATGCCTTGTAATTCAGGAATATAAAAATAATTGAATAAATCTTAATTTTACAATATATACCGTATTTTCCGGCGTATAAGATGACTTTCTAAGCCACAAAAACCTTAAAAGTTGGGGGTCGTCTTATACGCCGAGTCGTTTTATACGCCGGAAAATACGGGTATTCTATTTTATTCCTTTACACATGTGGTTTGGTATATTACTCATCAAGTTTTTTCTCCCCCCCCCTCACTCAAAAAGAGTCCTTGATTGGTAGAGTGGCAGTGGGGAGAGCAATTAAACTCTAAGCTGTTTGTTTCAGCAATCCGTCCCCGCGGCTCACCTCTAGCAGGCGTGTGGTTTGCAGCTGCTTTTTGCTAACTTGAAGTCACAGGCTGGTAAATGCCTGTGGGTCTCAATCTGTCTCCTCGCTGCTTCGCACTTTCCGAGCTGGAGATCAGGGTGGGAGGGAAGGATTGGAGGGAGAGGGAGGAGGGAAAGGAGGCGTGTGTGTGTTGTGCGTGTGTGCGCACGCTTCTCGCTGCTTTCTGAGCTGGGAAGGATTGGAGGGAGAGGGAAGAGGGAAAGGAGGCCACGCGCATGCACACACACGCTTTGCATTTTCCGAGCTGGAAATCGGGGTGGGAAGGAAGGATTGGAGGGAGAAAGGAGGTGTGTGTGTGTGTGTGCGCGTTAAAGAGTATGGCAAGGGGTAAGTGTGCATTAAGAAGAGGCACCCCACATTGGCCAGAACTTGAAAAACATGTAGCAGACATGGTGAATGAGCATCACCAAAATGGTTATGTAGTGACACGAAATAAAATATGTTTGTCTGCACTTCAGTGGGCCAAATCTAACCCAGATCACAGCAACAGATTTAAGGCCACAGTATCTTGGTGTACTAGATTCTTGAAAAGGCATAATATGGTACTGAGGCAAAAGACAAAAATGGCACACAAATTACCTGCAGATCTTGATAGCAAAGTAATTAGTTTCCATCGATACGTAATACAACAGCGCATTAAACATGGCTATGCATTAAGTAGTATTGGAAATATGGATGAAACTCCAATGAATTTTGATATGGTTGGAAATAAAACTGTCCATCAAAAAGGTGAAAAAACAATTTTAATTAAAACAACAGGACATGAGAAGTCCAATTTTACAGTGGTACTAGGATGCACAGCTGATGGTGCCAAACTGAGACCAATGATTATTTTTAAAAGAAAAACAATGCCGAAACTCAAGTTCCCTGTTGGTTGTTTTGTACATGTGAATGAAAAAGGCTGGATGGATGAAGAAGGGGTAAAGCTATGGCTTGATAATGTATGGAGCAGGCGACCAGGTGGACTTCTTCAAAAACGTAGTCTACTGGTGTGGGATATGTTCAGGGCTCATTTAACTCCCAGCACCAAGCAAAGGCTTGCAAGAATAAACACAGATGCGGCAGTTATTCCTGCAGGATTGACATCGTTGGTACAGCCACTGGATGTGTGCCTAAACAAGCCATTTAAAGATCGCATTCGAGAACAGTGGAATGAATGGATGGTTAGCGGCGAAAAGTCATTCACAAAAGGAGGAAACATGCGTGCTCCACAGTTGGATGTTTTGTGCAAGTTTGTCATGAAAGCCTGGAATGATATTGATGCAGAAACAGTAATCAAGTCTTACAAGAAGTGTGGCATATCAAATTCATTAGATGGTATGGAGGATGACTACTTGTGGCAAGATGAAGATGAAGCTGAAGCTGAGACCACACCATCTGATACGGAATTCGATCCATATGATGACTGCCTTACAAATGTACCACAAGATGTCATTGATATTTTTATGATATCAGATGATGAACAGGATGATTTTGAAGGCTTTTAAAGGGAAACTGTCACGCAAGCAAAACCTGTAAAAATAGCTTGCAGTTATGATGGGCGTTGCTGACTCGCCAGGGACTTGCCCGGCACTTGCTCTTTCTATTGTTTTTTATCTTCCTCCTATCATCATCAGTTCAGTTTGGTTGACAGCTTAGAAAACAAACAGCATGGCAGCTCCCATGGTTTTATTGTCTTATCCTTCCTTTCAGCTTTAGAGTGAATTAGGAAAAGTTTAATCCACTTGCACTGTTTTATGTTTATATGTTTGATGACAGCCTTATGTTTATAAATGACAGTTTTTCTGCTAAGTACCTGCATGTCATAAGCATTTGAATTAAAATTACCATATTGAAATCAAATCTGATGTTTTTAAATTTTTATTTGGTGTGCGTTGGAAGAGGGGTAGTCTTATACGGTGAGTATAGCCCAAACTCTATATTTTAACTGGAAAAGTTGGGGGTCGTCTTATACGCCCAGTCGTCTTATACGCTGGAAAATACAGTACATTAATTGCACTGTTAAGTTATGAATAGAGGAAACTGTAAAATACTACATAATAAATCTCTGATAACTCTTAATTGCTGCTCGTATTACATTTGAAACTTGAAATACTGTTCCAAATATATGGGAGTCTCACATATTTTCATAAATTTTAATTTAAGCAAATTCAGTGACATCTTATTTTGAAAACAGGGATTATTAGCTCACATCACATTAGTTTTTACAAGCTGTAGATTATAAGCAAAATTTGCCTGAGATTCACTCCCATGAAGATATAAAAGAATGGTCAATTTAATAAGAAGGAGTTTAATGTCTGGCACAGAACCAGGTAATTATTGCTTGGCATCAAAATGGTTGGTTTACATTAAACATACATATAGGGAAAACAAACTGCAAAAATCAAATTATTTGCACATAACATTAAGTGAGCAATCATTACTGTCAATGGTCATATTTCCTCAGAGGGTAATCTCTCTGAAGCTTCATGCCATGAATAGGACCACCATTTTTCTTTTTTTTCTTTTTGAAAAGACAAATTAGATTGGATAGCTTGTTTTTGCCAGAAGCTTGAATTGTTCCTTTGGAAAATGTATTCCTTTTATAAAATATTGCATTTCTCCCTTCAAAACAGAAACTTTTGAAATTAGGCCAGGATTTATCTAAAATATTAATTCTTCATACTGTTCATCTCTATGTGAAAAGCTACCCAGTTTCCATCATCCCTACTGATCATGTTAACAGAGGTGATGAGAACAAAAATCCCATAAAATCCAAAGTACAGACTCATCTCTGATTTAGTATTATGACCATAAACAAGGAAGACTGTATCCTGAGCCTGGCATTCATATACTCTTTTCATATAATCAGAGGGAAAATTTCTAATGTTTATTTTCCTAAATCTCAAGTTGTATGCAAACCAGAATAGTTCTAAAGAAGGTAATCAGTGTCAAAGGTTTATTTTTTTATTTTTTGATGTAGTGTCTTAAACTGCTTTCAAGCCTTGATGAAGAACATGGACAAAATTTATCCATGTTACAGGTTTTGCTGACATTATTTAGTTATACAAGATTTGAAACACAGTGTAGACACGAAGTTTATAGGCAGTACATTTTAGGAAATTATACAGTTTTTGCCTTTGTGCGCTTTCCTTTTTTTAGATGTTATTTGTCTAAGTTGGGTAGTGGGAAGTTCAGCACTTGGACTAGAAACAAAATCTGCATAGCAGGGATATCTCACAGATCTTGGCTGTGGAATGGGTTGTCCTAAAAAATATCCTTCCTCTTCAGAATCTGAAGATGATGAAGATGAACACCAAGAATCTTCGTCCTCACCCAAAAATTCAAAAAAACGATCTCTTGGTTTCCCCATTGCATAATCAGGCGCAAGATGATTATATTGGCCGAAAAAAGTTGGGGTATATGCCCAAACTGCCTGAGGATTTTTATTCTGAATAAATGCATTATAATCCTGAGGGGAATAAAAATTAAGCCTTTGTTTTGGAAAAGGTTTTCTTTCTGAAACCAGATGAAGTGTATTGTCAGATCGAGACTTTCTGTTCCTTTGATGTTTCTTTCCATGGTCTTCAAACTGATAAACATGTCTGCAAGTCTTTTCACTCATAGGAGATTGGTGAATATCAAGATTGTGATAGTTTCCATTATCAATGACATCTGAAAATTTTACTTGCTGAGGTCTAATCTGCGATTTGGATCTTCTTAGTACTGGCACCTGCATTGATTTTTCTTCTAGCAGTGTTTCAGCCTGACATAATTCAGAACTTATACTTCTCAAAGACTCAATACTTCTATGAAGCATTGATGAATTCAGAGTTCCCATGTTGCTCATTTTCTCACAATCCTCTGCCTCTAGCTCCTGATAGGTTTCAAATGAGTACAGAGAAGGTCTTGGTTTGATTTCATTAATTGAAACATCTAAGAATTAAAAGAAAAAAGTAATTTTAGTTGAAAAAATTATCCAATTAAATTCTAAAAATGTAATTTAAGTTTATTAAAAAGCCACATTTGGATTTTGAATGTGGAATGTGTGAATTACTTATCTATTCAAATTTTCCTTCATCAAACAGTGCAAGGAGAACAAGACAACAGTATAATGTATCAGATTTCTGAATTATTTCAGTGATAACTAACTTGGTGATATCACATCTTTTTTACATCGTGGTGACCAAAACTGGATGCAGTATTCCAAGTAAGGCCACACTTGGAATACTACATCCAGTTTTGGTCACCATGATATAAAAAAGATATTGAGACTCTAGAAAGAGTACAGAGAAGAGCAACAAAGATGATTAGGGGACTGGAGGCTAAAGCATATAAGGAAAGGCTGCTGGAATTGGGTATGTCTAGTTTAATGAAGAGAAGGACGAGGGGGGACATGATAGCAGTATTCCAATATTTCAGGGGCTGCCACAAAGAAGAGGGAGTCAAGCTATTTTCCAAGATGCCTGAAGGCAGGACAAGAAGCAACGGATGGAAACTAATCGAGGAGAGAAGCAACCTAGAACTAAAGAGAAGCTTCCTGACAGAACAGTTAACCAGTGGAACAACCTGCCTCCAGAAGTGGTGAATGCTCCAACACTGGAGGTTTTTAAGAAGAGACTGGACAGCCATTTGTCTGAAATGGTATAGGATTTCCTGCCTGAGCAGGGGGTTGGACTAGATAATCTCCAAGGTCTCTTCCAACTTTTTTATTATTATTACCGATCATCGCACAGTCAGCCAGATGTTCAGACTGGATTTGGCATTTTGTCTACCTATCGAGTCCTTACCCAGGACCTGGGATAGGCAGATGTGGATGTTTGATGGTATTACAGATATCGTCGCAGGATGGAAGCAGTTCCTAATAAGGCCGCCTTTTGCAATTGACTAATAGCGAATTTGTCAATGCCAATGGTGTTCAAGTGGTGCTCCAGTTGTTTTGGGATTGCACCCAAGGAGCCTATGACTATTGGTACTACCCTTGCTTGCTTTTGCCACAGTCTTTCTATTTCTATTTGTAGGTCTTTGTATTTTGTTATCTTCTCCAGTTCTTTCTCTTCTATTCTGCTATCTCCAGGCACTGCCACGTCCACTATCCAGACTTTTTTGTCTTTCTTATCGACAATTGTTAAGTCTGGGGTGTTATGTTGCAGGTGCTTGTCTGTTTGAATTCTGAAGTCCCAGAGCAGTTTAATTTTATCATTTTCTATGACTTTCTCTATTTTATGATCCCACCAGTTTTTGCTTACAGGCAAATGATATTTTTTGCAGATCTTCCAATGCACCATTGTTGCTACTTTGTCATGCCGCTGCTTGTAATCAGTTTGTGCAATCTTCTTGCAACAGCTTACCAAGTGGTCCACTGTTTCTTCAGCTTCTTTGCATAGGCGGCACTTACTGTCTGTTGCTGTCTTCTCAATTTTGACTTTGTATGCATTTGTCCTTAAGGCTTGGTCTTGTGCAGCCAGAATTAGTCCCTCGGTCTCTTTCTTCAATTTTCCTGCTCTTAGCCATTGCCAGGTTTTATTATTATCTGCTTTCCCAGCTATTTTTTTATGTATTGGCCATGTAGTGCTTTGTCTTCCCATGCCTCTATTCTGTTCTTCATTTGGTCTTTCTTGTAGGCCAGTTTGGTCTCTCCAGTAGTTAGTAAGCCTTCCTGATATACTAATTTCAGTGCATCTTCATCATTGTTCTTCAGATATTCTTCCAAAGCCATTTTTTCTTCTTCAACCATCTGATGTACTTGTAGCATTCCACGCCCACCTATTTGCCTTGGTAGATAAAGTCTATCAATGTCACTGCGTGGATGAAGGGCATGATTCATTGTCATTATTTTTCTGGTCTGCCTATCCATTGCTTTTAGTTCTGCTTGAGTCCAGTCCACTATTCCAGCTGTGTACCTAATGACTGGGATTGCCCAGGTGTTGATTGCCTTTATGGTATTTCCTCCATTGAGTTTGGATTTTAAGATCTTCTTCACTCTCTTGATGTATTCACCTCTAATCTTTTTCTTGACTTCAGTGTGCTTGATGTTGTCAGCTTGAAGGATACCCAAGTATTTGTAGTACTCTTCCTCATCCAGACTCTTAATGTTATTTTCGTGGGGCATCTTGATTCCTTCAGTTTTCATTATTTTTCCTTGTTTGATAGTAAGTGTGGCACATTTGTCCAAGCCAAACTCCATTACAATATCTTGGCTATATATACGGACAGTGTTGAGCAGCGATTCTATTTCAGATGATGTTTTTCCATACAGCTTCAGATCATCCATATAAAGGAGGTGGGATAGTCTGGCAGATGTTTTTGATGTTTGATAGCCATGTCCTGAGTTATTCAGTATTGTTGACAGAGGAAACAGTGCAATAACAAATAGTAATGGTGATAATGAATCTCCTTGAAATATTCCTCTCTTGATATTAACCTCTCCCAGCCTCTCACCATTGATCTGCAACTGTGTCTTCCATTGTGCCATCGATCTTTGCACAAATTTTCTGATGTTTCTACTGACTCCTGTTATTTCTAGGCACTTTATTATCCAATCATGTGGCAGAGAGTCAAATGCCTTTTTGTAGTCAATCCATGCCACATTCAGGTTGGTCTTCCTTCTCTTGCAGTTTTCCAAGATCATTTTGTCTATTAGGAGTTGATCTTTTGTTCCTCTGCTATTGGGGCGGTTTCCTTTCTGCTCAGGTGGAAAGAGATTGTTTTCAACTAGATGCTGTTGTACTGCATCAGCTACCACACCAGTTAGTAATTTGAAAGTTGTTGGTAAGCAGGTAATTGGCCTGTAGTTACCTGGTGTTGCCCCTTTTGCTGGATTTTTCATTATTAGGTAGGTTTTCCCAGTTGTTAGCCACTTTTCAATTTCTCCTCCTTGTAGTATATTGTTGAACTGTTTGGCAATGAGTGGGTGTATAACAGTTAGATGTTTCAACCAAAACCCATGCAGTTCATCTTCACCTGGTGCTGACCAATTTTTGATTTTCTTGCTCTTTTTTCTACCATTTTTGTTGTTATTACTAGTTCTTTCATTTCAACTTCTGTTTTATTTGCATCCACCTCTTTTAACCAAGCCGCATCCTTGTTGTATTTCTTTGGGTTATCCCATATCTGCTTCCAGAACTGCACTGTTTCTTCCTTGTCAGGTACTGACTGATTCCTTGCAGTTTCTCCATTGATGGATTGGTAGAAACGTTTCTGATTGGATTGAAATTGGAGGTTCTGCCTATAGTTTGCAATTCGAGCTTCATATCTACTGATTTTCCTGGCTATAGCTGTTATTTGTTGCTTTATTATTTCCAGTGCTTCCTTGATCTTCCTTGTTTCTAAGTGGTATTTCTTGATTAGGTATTCTTTGGTCTTCTTGTTCTTCAGCTTCTTTTCTTTCATCTGTTCTAGCTTGCTTGCATGTGATCTTAACTTGCTGATCTTATTTTCTAGTCTAACCTTCCATTTTTCTGGTGCACTGTTTGTTTGTTTTTCTTCTTTGTTGATTTTGCATCCCAGGTATTCTGTTATAACTGCAGCTGTGCTGTACATTAGTTGGTTTGTTTCTTGCAATGAATTGGTGCTTATACTTGATATTGCAATATTTGCATCTTTTAATGCTTGTGCTAGCTGTTTCTTTGGAACAAGCTTCAATGCAGGTAGCCTTATTCTATTGTTTTTGTGCTGTTCTAGATGCTCAGTTATTCTTTGTTTCAATTCTTTTATTTCTTTAGTTAGAGGGTTTTGTTCTTCCTGAGGTAGAGGTGCCTGGTTTCCAAATGAGAACAGTTGTATATCTCTGCTAGATTCCTTCACTGCCAACTCCCCCTGGTTTGCCTCTACATTCTGAATTACTTCTGGTAAGGCTTTGATTTCTTTGCCCTGGGTAAACCTTTGCAGTTCGTCCAATTCTGTTTCTGTGAATATTTTATTTCGTGTTATAAATCGGCGTTGATCTGCTAGTCTCTGTTCTGTTATTTCTGATTCTGGATGTTGTTCTTTCCAGAACTGGTGCATTCGTTTTAGATATCCTCTTCTTGTTGGACTTGATCTGTAGTAACAGATCATTATTTCTTTGTTTTCCATCACTGTGTATCTGCGACGGGTAAACACCTTTTCTTCCAGTAGTTCTGCAGCTGCTGGCCCTGGTTGCTCAGCCAACAGTCCTGAGTCCTGTAACCCATTTTTCACCAGATATCCAGGAACTCCAATATCTAGCGCGGACCTTGTTAACCCGGGCGACGTCCGAGCCGGTATGGCATTCTGAAATTTACGTCTCACCATATTTTTTATGGGAGAGACACTCTTTGTCTGACTCCTCTGATGAGACCTGTCCAGTATGGTTGAACCTCTGGCATAGCTCTCATCTTCCTCAGAGTACACAAGCCCCACAACCACGTCAAGGTAGTGCCTCACTGGGGGTTATTATTACTATTATTATTATTATTATTATTATTATTATTACATGCATATTTCAGAATAAAATGAATTGCCTTTCCCAATAGCTATAGATGTTAAACAAAATTGACAATAAAATTTTGAAATAACTTTTGATTATTAGTGATAACTGAAATTACTGGTTTCAAAGCAAGTTTCTTAGGGAAACCACCTCTTTCAACATAAGCATGATTTTCCTTCCACAATCAGGTGTTGACTATCACTAGGATTCAGTTGCTTATTCCCCTCCCTGACAGCCTGAACCAACAATGAAGAGCAAAATCCTCCAAGTAACAGAACTGATATAACAAAGGACGTTGCCCACTTTCTTAACAGTATAGGCTAAAAAATTATTCCAAGTAACCACAAGGTGTTACTCTTGGATTCTGACAATCTGACTTCCAATTTAAAGCAATTATATCCATAAAGTATCCAGCTCATTAGTCAAATGTTTACTGATATAATCATAAGAGGTTCAAGAGGGAAGCTTCTACTCTATTGCCGTCTTAGCTCTGACGCCTGTTGGAGAACATGGTTTTGTTAATTTATGTAATTATTTATTAAATTTCTATACTGCCCATCTCAGTTAAGTGACTCTTTCATAGGTAGTCCTTGATTTACAACCATAATTGGGACAACCACATTGTTAAGTGATGCAAATAATTTGGCTTCCCCCATTGATGTCATAAACCCCTGAGAAGGTCACAAATGATCACATGACCCCAGGATGCTGCAACCATAGTAAATATATGCTGATTGTGAAGTGCTCAAATTTTAATTACATGAATGCCAGCACATTGCAATGGTTGTAAATGCAGGGATTTGATGTAAGTCACTTTTTTTTACTGCTATTGTAATTTTGAAGGTCACCAATGATCTTAAGAATTTGTACAAGGAGATAAATAAACAAAAGATAAATTCATAAGCACTTAAATTCCATTATAAAATACTTGCAGCCCTGTGCCATTGAGTCATTGAACAGGCTTTCTTTGCAAAAGGAGCATGCATAAAAACAGAAAACTTAATCTGTAAACCTTTGTATACACTGGTAAGAATCAAGCTTTATGGTATGAAAATTGATTGTATATATATCACAAATGCTTAGTGAATGAATCATAAATCCTAGTTTTTAGCTGCTTTACCTGTGATGTTAGAAAAAACAAGGGAATCCATTGAGTCTCGAACACACTGCTCTTGTTTTAAGTTTGACAAACATTCCAGTGAATCATTATACCATTGTTTTTGGTCATGTTTGTATCTTGTGTCATGTTCGATGTCTAATTCTTGGATTTTCCTGCTACTAGCAGGTCCTGGGTGGCTACCATAGGCAGAATCACCCAGGCCATCTTGGCATTGTGCCCAATACATATTTGCCTGGAATTTCTTACTTGCTAAGCTTTGATTATTTTTCTTCAATTCTAATCTTCCTTTAGCCACATTTTCACAAATCCACTGATCATTTGATCTAACATTGGCTTCCGCTGGCTGCTGAAATAGATTTTTATCACCAAATTTGAGAAGCAGTTGAGTCATATAATCTTCATGCTCAGCCCATTCTTCTGGATCATCAGGCATTTTATCTTCCCTCACTTTCTGGAGTTCTTTGTCAACAAAGTTTATTTCTTGCCTAGAAAGACTTAAGTTATCCAGTTTCCATGAAAGTGTATTATCTGCTGTGCTTGAAAGACCAGGGAATTTGTAATTCATTGCTGGAGACAACAGGAGAGATTGCCTGCACTGATCTGCTGTTTGACTGCTTTTTCCCATACAAACGCTCCTTCTGGAGTCTCTTGAGCGAGCAGACTGGAAAGCAGAATCAGAAGAATCTGAAGCATGAACATCTTCTCCTAGACTGCATGATTTAGAACAAAAAATCTGTCCTTGCTTGGGAAGAAAAGGGCAACCAAGTAGTGAAACTTTGCAATGAGCACAAGAAAAGCAAGTTTCTGTAGCATGCCAGTGTTGTCCATCATAAGTCATTTGAGCGTGATCAAGCCCTGTTAAGACAAGATTTGTGTTTAAATTTGTTTGCTAAGATTCTTGTGACTTTTCTTTCTCATTAGATAAAATACTTTAATAATAACACACATTAATATGTTATTTACTCAGACTTGAGATTGAGTCTATTTACATTACACTGGGAAAAAAAATTATAAACTAAACTATATGTTATGGCATAAAGTTTTATTTTCATTTTGAATAAGTAAAGCAGTCTACAGATAGTCATCTATCATTTTATTTTTAAAATACAGTAAAATAAAGGATTAATTTTTAGCCCTAGGTAATATCCAGAGAGAACTAAGTAAAAGACAATCTAATAAATAGTTCTGAGCATAGGCATGAATCAGAATAGTAGTCACAAACTAGTCTGGCAGTAATATTAATTAAATTACATTAACATACCATGGCTAAAAAAAAGACTGTCCAATTAGAGTGGAATTAATTTTTATTTATTCATTCAATTTGTATAGTTAACCATCTATCGTGACTCTGGGCTACCCACAACAATTAAAAACAACAGCAAGAATAATTTAAAAATATGAAAAACTATATCACCATACTAAAATTTCTATTAAAACAATTTGCTGATAGCTTGCATTTACAGAATTAATCTTATTTTCCTTGATTTTTTGTTAAAGCATCAACAGCCAACATTGATGCTGTTAGCCTGAAATGTGGGCCTATAATGTTCTTCTCGTCAGGATAGTAATTTTAAAATAATAGACATAATTCTAGGGATCTCAGATTCTACAAATAAGCTAAAAGTCAATTATCAATTGAATCATGACAGCCATTCAAAAGGAGATTTAACTTGTTTCTCAGGTTAAAAACATGATTTTGTAATTAAATAGCTTCAACAAATATTTTTTGCCAGTCAAGATGCAAGCTTACCTATATGTTCCCCACAAGTCTCACAATATTCTGCATAAAGAGATTCAAAGCAGCCACAGCACAATGGGTGTCCATCCTTCATAATATATCTCTGTCCTCCAAGAATGGTTTCACACTCAAGGCAACAGAAGTGTTTCATGTGCCAGTGACGACCTTCTGCTTCTGTACATTCATCAGCAAAAATGATCTATAGTAAGTGGGGAGGAAATAGTTTAGTTTTTAGGAGTTTCTCTTATTTCTCACTCTTTTGGGGGGGGGATAATGATTTATCCTTAAAACAGTGGAGATAAAACATTTTAATGGTAGTCTTCGACTTATGACCAGTTTCTTAGTGACCGTTCAAAGTTACAACCTATCTGAAAAGGGGGACTTACAACGTAGTTCCAAAGTTCCGACAGTCAGAGTTCCCCCACGGTCACATTACTGCACTTCAGGCACTCACAATATGGCTGCATTTACAGCTGTATGCAACATCTTATGGTCATGTGAGTGTATTTTACAATGGTTTTGCCAAAAATGGCAATTCTGACTTCTGCGTATAATGTGCTATAATGAATAATTGGTTTGCTTAATGAACACAGCATTTGCTTAATGACCATGGCATTTGTTTTATGACCACTGTCTTCACCTAACCACTTCACACAAATTGCAAAACCAGGTTGGTCATATGACAACCCATTTTACAACGGTTTTGACTTACAACAGGCTCTATTACAGTCATAATTCAAGGATTATCTGTATAAATAAGGTATTCAGTTCAGAGATTCTAAAGGATCTTTAAAACCATTCCCCTTGTTGAAAGTAACTTAATGAAAATTAATAGAAACAGAATATATTAATAATATATTTGATCACTAGTGTACCACTTCTATAACTTCTTTGTCTACTTACTGATATGCTATCATTTTTAACTCTTTCCTCTTTTTTCTTTTTCTTTTAATTTAAAATAACAAAAAGGGGAAGGGGCAAAACTCACACATAAGACTATCTGTCACATACAATCCAACAGTATTCTTGCAAGTTACATTTCTTCAATTTAATTACTACTTTTACTAGAAGCAGTGTATAACAATGTATGTGAAATTTAGTGATGTGGGGAATCATTTTTGTCCCAAAGGGTATGTGTGGTGATATCAGATGATAAGTCATAATCAAATGCACTCACAGAAGACTCTGTTCCTTCCAAGATACTTAGCAATTGATACTTAGTATTGGGTACCTGTGGACAAGACTTCTCTCTTTTAGCAGCAGCAATTTTTAGTACAGGTAGCAATTAGGAAATAAATGCTGGCAAGGTATGTTAAAAGAGAGAAATAATTATGTCACATTACTTCAACAGTATAAATGGTTTTCCACCCATTATTAGTAATGGCCAATGAATGAATATCAAGAACTATGGTCAATTTAAAAAAAACCTCTCCCTTTTTACAACTCTAGTCCCTATTCGGGATGTAGGTGACTGAATGGAGCTGAGCGTTTGGGTGGCTGGAGCTGAGCGTTTACTGGCTGGATGCCCTTTCTGCCACACATGTGGAGTTCGCAGCAGATACTTTTTCTTTGTGCTCTAAGGGAGAAACATCTGTCGCTACCTAGGATTGAATTCTCAACCTTCCGAGTGGGAGGTGAGAGTCTTCACCACTAGGCCTTCATGCCGGTCATAGTCAATATGATATAAATTATACGATATATTAAGTTCAGCGCATATTGCTAAGAATTATTATTTATGATAATTTATAATGTATAAGAGAAGAATTAGAAAGCCAGTTTGGTCTAGTGATTAAGGCACAGAGCTAGAAAGCAGGAAATTCAAGTCTTGCCTTGGCCATAAAAGCCAGCTGGATAACCTTGAGCCTGTCATTCTCTCTCAGCCAAAGTGCTGCAATAGGAGGAGGATGTGTTGGATGTGTTCTCCACCTTGAGTTATTTGTAAAGATAATAAAGCTGGGATATAAAATGTAAAAATAAATTATTCTGTTTAAGTATCTTGAAGCATAACTTCTATGCAGAGATAAGCCCTAATATTGGATATGCCCCCAATCCATGTATTAAATACTTGAAAAACAGTTTCCAGTTTGAGCTAAAATTTATGTTTGATTTACTTTTAAGGTGCAAACTTATTTTAATATCAAAGTATACTCCCACAACTTGGTTAGCCATTTTTCCATTGAAGGGTTCAGACATTTCCAATAAGAAACACATAATATCCTTGCAGCAATTATCATAAAAATCTACATATACAGTATTTTGAGGGGATATATAGTTTGACAGTTTAATAAGAATAGTTTAAGCTCAAATGAATCTTGAGCGTTTGAGAATGGTTTCATTCTGAATCATTTTACAGAATTGTTGAGTTGTACAGCATTACATCTTAATGCCAAATATGAGAAACAAAGAATGTTCAAACTATTGCACCATTGCACTCATTTCACACGCTAGTAAAGTTATGCTTAAAATCCTACAAGCTAGACTCCAGCAGTATGTGGATCGAGAATTACCAGAAGTACAGGCAGGATTTCGAAGCGGCAGAGGAACTAGAGATCAAATTGCCAACTTACGCTGGATCATGGAGAAAGCTAGGGAGTTCCAGAAAAAAATCTACTTCTGCTTCATTGATTATGCTAAAGCCTTTGATTATGTGGATCACAACAAATTGTGGCAAGTTCTTAAAGAGATGGGAGTACCAGACCATCTTATTTGTCTCTTGAGAAACTATATGCGGGTCAAGAAGCAACAGTGAGAACTGGACACGGAACCACTGATTGGTTCAAAATTGAGAAAGGAGTCTGGCAAGGCTGTATACTGTCTCCCTGCCAATTTAACTTATATACAGAGCACATCATGAGAAAGGCAGGGCTAGATGAATCAAACGTTGGAATTAAGATTGCCGGGAGAAATATCAACAACCTAAGATATGCAGATGATACCACTCTAATGGCAGAAAGTGAAGAGGGAGTAAAGAGCCTCTTGATGCGGGTGAAGAAGGAGAGTGCAAAAGTTGGCTTGAAACTCAGCATTAAGAAAACCAAGATCATGACATCTGGCCCTCTCAATTCCTGGCAAATTGATGGGGCAGAAATGGAGGTAGTGACAGATTTTATCTTCCTGCACTCCAAGATCACTTCAGATGGGGACTGCAGCCAAGAAATTAAAAGACGCTTGCTCCTGGGAAGGAAAGCTATGGCAAATCTAGACAGCATACTAAAAAGCAGAGACATCACCCTGCCAACAAATGTGCATATAGTCAAGGCCATGGTTTTCTCAGTTGCAATGTATGGATGTGAAAGTTGGACCATAAGAAAGGCTGAGCGCAAAAGAATTGAGGCCTTTGAACTATGGTGCTGGAGAAGACTCCTGCGAGTCCCTTGGACTGCAAGGCGTACAAACCGGTCAGTCCTAGAAGAGATCAACCCCAACTGCTCTTTAGAAGGCCAGATCCTGAAGTTGAAACTCAAATACTTTGGCCACCTAATGAGAAGGAAGGACTCATTGGAGAAGGGCCTAATGCTGGGAAAGATTGAGGGCAATAGAAGAAGGGGACGACAGAGAATGAGGTGGCTGGATGGAGTCACTGAAGCAGTAGGCATGAACTTAAATGGACTCCAGAAGATGGTAGAGGACAGGAAGACCTGGAGGAAAGTTGTCCATGGGGTCGCGATGGGTCGGACACGACTTCACAATTAACAACAACAATTTTTTGAAGATAAACTATCCTGTTTAGCAATCAAAACTGAAATAAATGATAAAATATTTTTCTCTGAGTATAATGTTCTGAGTAAATTTAATTATCTTTTTCTATTACAATTCTCATTGCATCTCTATTGTATATTCTAATTCTGCATCCATTTCATCATATAATCTTTGACTTGTTAAGGGCTGGAGTCTTCATGAACAGTCTATAAATAAGACCCAACAATGGTTCCAAGTATTATAAAATTTACAAATTCAGTCAAATCTCCCACTAGTCCCACATTTCTGCAATTAGATTCCAATATTTCTGAGGGCTATAGAAGAAAAATTTGCAGATCACACTTGGAAGTGTCTGTGTAATAAATGCTATGTTCATTTCAATTCCATCTTAAGTTTCATGAGAATGTGAGATTTACCTCATCACATGCTGAACAACGTGGCTTGAGCAGTTCAGCATGGTGTCTACCACAATGAATGTTTCCAACTTGGAAGAAATAGATTAGATCAACAAGAAGTTGATTGCATGTATAACATACAAAACAGGATGGGTGCCAGAGCGCTGCAGGCCCAGCTCTTGAAGCAAATACTGCAATTTCACCTCCATTTATTTTTGTACCACACTAGAAACAAAAACAGGGATTTAAGTAATTTTTTCCATATATCCATCTAGATAAACCTACACACATGCATTTTAATTTTTATACATATACAACTTATCAGAACAATGGGACCACCTCACATCTGAGAGGAAAGGACAGATCAGGACACTAAAAGAGCATATGCTGTTATTGTTATACGATCTTTCTTGATACAAGATTACTGACTCATATTAACTGTCAGTAAAATAACTTCTTAGACACTTCCTTTGAGCATTCCATTACATTAAGCATGCATGCACACTCATACTGATTCATCAACATCTTCTAATCAAATTTTTATTATCCCCTTGATTTACCTTGCTATTTATCAGATTTTTCTTGATCAATATTTTAAGCATATTGTAATACCGGAAAGTACAGAAATAAGTTTTATAAGCCAACAAATGCTGTTCAATCAGTTTTCAACCTAAAAGGTTTGAACCCATGTTTTATTTAAATGTACTTTATTCCATGTTCAGCAGTACCTGAATTTCACAGAATTACAGAATTTTATTTTAACAATAGCAATGTTACCTGTTCACAAAGTGCATGCATTATTGCTCTAGGGAGTAATTTGACTGAGCCTCGCCCTAGTGCTTCTTTTTTACGTTGTGCACTAAATAGTTGAAGTTCTTTCTTCTCTTCTTCGTTTAAATACTGGCAGTATCGCACCTTCATCAAAAGAAGCCAATAACATGTTTAGAATCTACACAAGTTCTATTTGAAATTAACATGCATGAATAGGTGTACATACACATTTTTGGAAACTGAAAGATTTGTATCAGATTTACAAATAAAAGAGAATTGCATACAAAGCTAATTTACTTCTTATGCTTTCACCACAATGTAATGATCTGTCTCAACAATTGGAGCTGCTACAATGACACAAAGTGTCATTGTCTATGTATTTTCACCCTTGATACTGACATATTTTGAAGATTGAAGTTTTTCTGCATTTGGTTTTACTAATTTATGGATATAAGATAAATTTCTATAGCATACAAGTATAGAGTGAAGAAGCAGATTATTCCTTCATGCTTTATGAGAAAGAAAGGAGAAGTGGCACCATAGGATTTTGGTGCTATTTCCATCCACAGTAGGCATGAGAGCACTGATGGTTTTAATTACAAAATCATTTTCTAAAGTTGGCCTGTCCAAATTAACCTTTGCTGTTTGAATCTATTAATTGTATTAATGAATTAGGTACATTTTTTTCAAATAGTTTTCAAAAATTGAGCTATATGGTAAATATCCGCCTACATCTTACATTTCAGAATATATAATGATAAAAACTATGCCTTTGATTTTCTAAGACCATCTCACTGATGTATCTCTTATTAGATACTTTTATTTTGTCTAGGAGGGATCATTCAGGTACTCATGATGATGTAAAATTATCCATCCAATGATAGGAAAAAATAAAAATATTGATAGAAAATAGTTTTGGGGAGAAAGCTAACCAGGGTTATTATTACTTAAAAAAAACCCCACTAAATTACACCAGAAGTGGTGCCTGACACAAGAGTGAATAGTCATTATTCCATAGAACAGATGCTACTGTAGGAATGCACAGTAGCTCTAATGTTGCAAAATGGAAAGCAAAGCATAAAAATAAGGCACAAGGGGATGAGTTTGATGTAAACTGAAATGTTATTTAAGAGTTTTAGGATGCTAAATATAGATGCAAATAGCATATATTATTCTATATGCTGGCAAGTATATCTTTCCCCACACCCCTCCTATTCTCTATTTTTTATTTTTATTATTTATTAATAAGGGGCTACAGTATTTATAAACATTTAAAAACACTAAAATAATACAATAAGCCACATTGCTTGTAGCAAGTTTTTTTTAAAAAAACCCTAAGCATTAACTGCTGATACTGATGGCCAAAGGCTTATCTAGAAAAAAAAAATTTCATCTTTGGCCTTTAAGACAACAAAAGTCTTTGGCGGGATGAAGTGGAGGAACAAACCTTTGCATTTGTGTTCTAGTACTCTAAATTGGACTCAGAAACACATCAGAAGTGGAGCTCCTGTAAGGCAGAAGCCCTCCGTTCAAAAGACTTCACTCCTAGTTACCAGATGGATGTGTATTTTATTAACAGTATAGAAATAGTGTATCTTCGTGATCATACACAATTTTTTCAACTTCCTAATCTAACTTAAAATCCTGGAATTTCCTGGTGGTTTTCATCCAAAAACTAATTAGATATGATACTGCTTAACTTTTTGAGATCAGTCAAGATCATCTGCATGAAGCAAAATGCAAATTAAATCAGAGGAGCAGTCAGAATTACTGAACTGTATTACTTACCAATTGGAGACTTTCAAAGTCCATCATGTTTCAGTATTTAATCTGGAATTATTATGGCATGATTTCACTGTAATTAGTTACATCTTGTCACATAGTTTTAGGAATCAGATTGTATTTTGAGAAACCATAGATTTATTGCCCAGAAAGGGAATATGTCCCTCTGTCTCATCCCAGCAGAGCAAACATGATTATCTATACCTACCTCATTGTCATGGGGTGGTAGCTGATAGAAAAGCTGCTTAATTCGATATTTTTCTCCAGGACTGTTAACATATGGGACCTTCTCTTCTGACAGGTAAGCAAAGTAAAGCTGAACCTGAATTAGAAGCCAGACACATATCTGATTCATGCACTTCCTTGTAAGAAATCTTCATCTGCTATCTTATATATTTTATTTATAGGTTATGCTAAGTCTATTTTACTTTTTAGATTTTTTTTGCATCTTTAGCAGAATTTGCATTCCTTTTTTTTAGAAAGAAGAACTAAGCTAACTAAGCAGAACTACATTACCTAAGATTATTAGCACCCAGCTGTTGAATTGCTTCCCTGGAATGCAATTTTCAGTGGCAATTACAGCTGCCATTATGCACATCTCACTTCCATCTTCTTCAGGATAGTTAGCAGGTTGGTTAAAATTCCACATACTCTCTCTGCATTTTATTACACAACAGTGTAAAGCTACCCAGACAAGTGTAGGGTTTGCTCCCTGTTTATATACAATAACTTGCCCTGCCAGTTTTGGTAGAAGTGTGGTTTTCTCCTTGATAAGGATATTGTTTTCTGTTTGATTGATTGCCTGTTATTAATCCTTACTTATTTGGGTATTCGCTGCTGGAAAGGATGTGTTCTGATCTTTTTCTTTCCTTCTTACTTTATTGTCTCTTGAATGGTATGTAAATACGGTTTGTTTCTATATGTCTACTGATGGCTTATTTGTCTGAATGCCAAGTTTCCAGGAATTCCTTGGATTCAGCTTGGTTTAGGATGCTCATAGCTTCTCAACTGATATGAAGAGAATATCTGTAGCTTAGGGTTGAAAGGTTGAGTTCTTGGTGCTGAGCTTGGTTGTTTGCTTGCAGGCTTCCTTCACTCAACCAGGAAACATTATCAGTGTGAGTGAATGTGTGATTTATTCCCTATTTACAATTCAGTACAATAGTTTGCCCAGCCACTTTTAATGGTGTGGTTTCTCCAAGATAGTTCCTTCATTAGGGTATTGTTTTCTGCTTTATTGTTTGCATGGTGTTAATCCCTCCTTATCTGGTTATTGGCTGTTGAGGAAGATGTGTTATGGTCTTTTTGTTTCCTTCTTAGCTTACTTCAAAGTTTACTTATCTTTTTTAATCATGAAAATGCTACCATATAAAACCTAAATAATAAAAATAGATTTTAAGGGTATCACTTTTTTTGTCCATTATTTATATGAAAAAAATGAAGATCAAGGTAACCTAAGTACAAAATTACTTTCTGAATATACAATTGAAACATAAGCAAGTTAATATTTGCCCTTACCTGTTCTGGTCTAAGACCTGGAGGAACCCAGACATATTCTTCTAAGGCACATCCAGAATCATCATCTGATGTTGAACTTCGTTGAAAGCCAGATGTACAATTGCCAACTTTTGACTCCATTTCCTCTTTACGCAGGTCAATGGAACAGTATCAAGATGTTCAGTTGTAGATCATCAATTAAGAGCTCTAGAAAAACACATATAAAAGTTAAATATTGCAATAAAAAGCATACTGTAGCTATTACTTCAAAACACACAGATTTCATACTATCATTGGTCCTATACTTGTACTTTATTTTAGGTTATTTTTTCAAAGTGGTAGAATGCTTTTCTAATCTTGTGGAGTGTTTTAGTTCTGAAACAGAAGAAAACAGAAGTGAGGTTCTACATGCTAATCATGCTCTAATGGGCAAAGAAAAAATAAAAATATTTTTGAGATTAAGTGACTTTATATGCAGATTAAGCTTTAATATGTTATAGTATAATTTAGGAAAAATGCTTTTTAATTAATCATGTGAAAATATGAACTGGAATTGCAGGCTTCCCATTTCATTTTTCCCCCTTCACTCTCACATGTTGATTAAAATTTTAATTTAAACCATAGTTTAAGATCCTGGATATCCACTACAGAAACATTTTTTTCATACAACAGCAATAATGGGAATAAATTATAGATTAAATTGATTATATTGAACACTGAGCATTGAAAACAGAGATTAGAAGAGTGAACAGGAATGGCAAGTTTAGGCATCAACCCTTGGCCCCCAGCCACCCACCTCAGCCAATTTACAGTCAGCTTTCCTCCTCCACTGGCCCTCCACTGGCCATTTTCCACAGTCCATGAGCCCCTGGCCCTCTGCCCCTGGCCCTTCATTATTGCCCTTTTGCCCAGACAACATTTGACTCAGGCCTTTGGCTGCACGGGACAAATAGCACAAATCGGGTGGCAGGCAGAAGCAATGGTGCTGTTGGGGCAGCATGCGATTGGCAATGGGCAGGGCAATCACAGAAGCTGGGGAGTGGGCAGTATACAATGCAAAATTTAAAAAAAACTGCGGCTGCTCAGCAAGTTTTTTTTAAAGGGGCTGTGCTTTTAGATCAATTGGGTGGCTCTAGAGTATGGTTCTGACAGGTTGTGCAGATGGGGACAGGGCTCAAGTTATAAAAGATATCAGAAACAGCAAAACTGCAGTGCGAAAGCATTCCACTGCTGGGGACCAATGGATCTGTCACCAGAACTGGAGGGGAGGGGGAGTGGCAGCAGGAGTAGCAGCTGCTGGGGCCACTGGAGGGGCAGACAGATGAGAGTGGATTGGGGTACCAGGAAGGGAGGCAGGGGCAGCTCTAGAGGGTTTTGCAGAGACAGCTTGGCTCACAACTCTGCCAGCTCTAACAAGGCAGGAAATGAAAGAGGGGAGGAAGAACCAGCCTGGCACAGTTGATGGCATTGCGGGGGGGGGCACGGTGGTGGTATGTGGGGGGGGGGAGCTGAACTGCCCATTAGGCATCAGGCCAGAGTCCAGGTACAGAGGCAGTGGGGGGGTATCAAAATGGGAAGTTGCCGCTCCATAGGTTTTTTTTTTTTAAAAAAAACTGGCACCAAGTGCCTGGCACTCCATAGTCCAATTAAGCAGCTGGCTGTGCTTGGGTTTTCCTTCTGCTTTCATTTTCAGTAAATTGGGTAGGGCGATTCATGCAAAAAAAAGAGACAAATTGCCGGTAAAAGTTAGGGAACCCTAGGAAGCTTTGGAGTTGCTTTCTCCAGCAAGGAGGGGCCCACTCTAGTACTGCTTTAACCTTTTCTAGGTCCATCTCCACCTCTTCATTTGAGATCCAGTACCCTAGGTATTCAATTTTGTTTTTGTGGAACTAGCACTTTGAGAGCTTAGCATACTCAGTTGCCTGCAGTTTATTTAATACTGCTCACATGAGTTTGACATGTTCATGCTTTGTCTCGGGATAAATCAGAATGTCGTATTCAGGATGGGCCATCCATGGGTGTTGCAGCTGTAGGGCCTGGCCAGGTCGATTTCCACTTCTTCAGCTAGCATGCACCACTGGTGGAGAGTGCAGGAGGCTCCCCTGGAGATGCAGGTGTTGTACACATCGTCATTGAGCCTTTCTTGGAAGCATTCTTTTTATACATATAAATATTTTATTAATTTTCTATTTTTACAATCAAATGTCTAATAGACAACATGATGACTGAGTCCATTAGTGATTCCATGGTACATGTAAGCTTCTTCAAACTAAATCCAATATTACATCCTCCAATACATCCTCTCTTCTTCTGGTAACAGACTTTTTTCCACACTAAGTAAATACAATTCTTATTGTTGTAAATATACAATCGCCTATCAACATTTGTTACATTTTTCTAATAGTAATATCAGTTTAAAATATCTTTTCTAACAAAAGCATATTTTAATTGCATTTGCACTCAATATCCATTTATTCAGTCCATATCCTATTTTTGTTTTTTTCAATTTTAATTTCCCATCCATGTTCAAAATATCCCAATCATTTATAATTTCAGAACAAGTTATATTTGGGAAACCAAAAGTTTCCCTTATTCAAAGTTCTTAGCATATTCTTATTTCCCTTTTCACACCAAGATATGATATTCTGATTACAAATCCTATCTATCTAGTTATAATAATACTTCTATTTCTAGCAATCTATTCTTAACCACATTCAAACAACTGATTAGTAATATAACATCCCCTCTAATAGGTCAAAGCTTCTGTTTCCTTCAGTCTTACTTTAGCTTTCTTCCTTTTTCAACTAACTTTCCAAGTCAATGCATTTGGATCATCAAATAATTTTTCCTCTATTTTTATGTATATTATTTGAAACAAGAGAAACAATTTAGTTAAAGTATTTTTGGAAGAACTAGTGTGTTGATATTCATTAAATAGCCTCCCTCCTTCTTCAGTTCCCCATAGTTTTGTTAACAACTTGATCTTCCATTCCATCAGCTCTCCTTCCTTATCCTCCAGTCTGTTCTGAAACCTTGATTTGTAAAATGTCTTTTCCATTTCCAATATTATCGTTGTGTCTTCTAAGTCTTCATTTATCTGAGTCTGGTCATTAGTTTCTTCCTTTAGATCCTATGTTTGTGTCAGCATTCTCTAGTTTTCCTTCTATTTTCTGGGTTGCTGGTTCCTTCTCTGTAGTTATTTTCAGAGTTTGTAGATTTAAATTAGAAAATTGTTCTTTTATCTCCTTTGTGTTACTTTTAATCTCATCACAAGCTAAAGCAATTGTTTCTTGTATTAATTTCAACATGGAGAGAATTTCTTTCTGTGGCTCATCAGTATTTTCTTGGTGATATGGCAAACTAGGCTTCTGGAGACAGGTGTTAAAGATGGTTTTTTACTATTTAAAGCTAAGTATGGAACATCTATTTTATTTTTGTAAGTAGCCTTTATAATTTTTTCCAACCAACTAGCCATTCTTAAACCTCCCCTAAGCAGATATAAGTAAAATTCAATTTTTTTCTGTCCAATGAGAAATATATCCTTTCTTTGCAGGGAGAAAAAAGAACCATTAAAGGTTGCTTAACAATCAAGATTTATAATCCAAAGTATTCCATCATATCAGTGTATGTTTCTTCTACAGGAAAATAGTTCCACAGTACAGTTCAGTATTTGTGTTCATAGTTCAAACAAGCCAATTTTAGAGTAATATTATTGCCTCTGCCACACAGATAAGCAGTCTCCAAGTCTGTTCTTTTTTTCTCAGCTGCAATTCTCAAAAGTAAAAGCTTCCAAGGCCAGCCAAAGTCTTATCTAACTCTGGGCTTCAAGCCAGGTTACTTTTAGGCATAAATAAGTTGTAGTGCCGTAATTTACCACTAGATGTCATCAACACCGTTTTTCAGTTTTTAAATCCAAAATTTATATTGTAAACTTTTCAAGTTTTTCTTTTAAAAAAAGGTTTTAAAACACTTTTAGTCCCCAAATTTCCAAGTCATATATGACTGGCTACGCGAATGTAGCCAGTCTTTCCCCTGCCGGTTTGGAGGGCTTCCTTGGATCAAATGGGGGGCATCAGGGTCCCCTCCTTGCTTGCTGCCTCTCTGGGATGACTTTCAACCCTTTCCAGGGTCCCCCGGCAGGGTGAAATCAAATGCGAAAGACGGAGCCCTTTCTGTCTTTCTGCGTCTGCATCACTACAACATCAAAACCAGAAGCCTAACTTGGAAGCATTCTATTAGGATGTCTTCTGGCCAATTGGCAAGTTGACAGGCCTGTTTGCAGAACTCCTGGTTGTAGGCAGCTACCCCTCTGCTGCCTTGATTAATAGTCTTGATGCAAGTTCACACTTTGCGTTAGGTGAGTGGATCCTTGAATCATTTGCACAGGACCATTGTGAATTGGTCAAAGCTCTGGAGTTCTGGCACATTGTCATTTTGGAGAGAGACCATCTACTTCACTATGGGCCTTCCAGGGCCATGGTCACGCATCTGACCCCAGCTGCTTCAGTAGCAAGGCATGCTCCATATTCCTACATGTAGTTCCACACCTGGGTGAGGAATATGGTCTCCACCATATTTCAAACCCAGGGCAGAGAGTCTTGGCATCCCCTGCCTTAGGAGGATGGGGCCCCTGGTGGGACAGGCAGCTGGCTTGCACTGCTGGTGGCAGAGCAGCCTGGGCCAGTGTGAGTCCAAGTGGGATTGCTGTCCCTCCAGTTGTAGCCGCTTGCACTGTGGCTCCATCTCCCGCTGGCCCTCCAGAGGTCAAGGCTCGGCCAGTTGGGTGAGGAGTTCCTTGGTTTGCCAGGTTTCAAAGGCGTCCCTCAGCACCTTTCAGACTTGTTCCACTAGGTTTTCCTGCTCATCTAACCCCTCCTGAAGCTCTTCTTTACCCTGGCCCCCATGCCACTCTTGTCTCCTGGTGTCTTGGCCCCCTCAGAGGCCAGAGAAGGAGGAGAAAGAGTTGGAGCTGGTCGTCCAGCAGGGAAGGCACACCAGAGGCTGAGGATGATGCTGTCCTGGGCCCCTCAGCCATTGGGGAAAGTAGTTGACCAGACAGAGAGCTGCCTGCCTGCACAGACACAGGGGAGGATTGGCTGACTATTCCACTTGTCTGATGAGGAGCAGCTGCCTACTCCACTCAATCCAAGGGCAAGGAGAATGGAGCATAGGCAAGCCCAGAGAAGGATTGCAAGGCTACTCAGGAG